CTATTTTTTCCTTTTATAGATGCCAAACGCATGTCGAAAATCTCCAAAGCTGAGCAGAAACAAGAGCTCTATAGCTGAATCATCAACTATGAAGGTTAGAAAATTCTTTTTAATATTTGTAGTAATAGAGTTTTTTTTTGTGTGTGAATATTTTGAGGTTGGTTTTTGTGATATGAATAGTGTGGTGAAAGATTGTTTTTTTTTTGTGCAAAAGGGTTTTCTCTACATGTTTATATGAGATGATGTAATGAATATTTCTTCGAAACCAAAGATGTGATTTTTTTTATCTTTCGTTGTTTCTGATATGTTTTTGGTTTTTGTTTTCTTTGCATTCAGCTGAAAGAAAGACTGTAAGTGAACGTATGACCACATCTACGCCAAAATGAGCCTTGGAGCAGTTAATTTTGTAAGTGATGTCGATAATATCAACCGCAAAATGCGAGAAATAGCAATGTACTTTTATTGACTTGTGTATCATGGCATTAGCACTTTTTTTTCTCTTACATGATTCTACTTCCATTTTTTGTTATCAAGACATTGTACTTCTATAAATATAACAATTTTTATCAACTTTTTCTTCATTGTACATTATATTTTTAAAAGTCTATTAATATATAGCCTTTACACATACATTGCTACAATTTCATAGATTTTTTAGAGTACAATGTTATAATAGGAAAAATCAAAGGTAAATACAAATTAATTAAATTAGGTTGCTATTTTGGAACTTAAGCATCAGAATTGAAATTTCAAGGCTGAATTTTGTGTGAATAAACTTTGGAATGAGGAAAAAGAGTTTAAAAGGAAAAAAAGGACCTTGGGCAATGTCCTCGCTTTTTCACTAGTTCTAATTAGTTGTTGCCTTAATTGGGTTAAAGCAATCAACGAAATAGAATTAGATATTTTACAAAAATTTCATTGGTTCATTTCATGTGGTTTGTAAAAGGTATCACGTTTAAGAAAAACTATAACACTATATCAATGGTTATTATGGTTTAAAGTCTTACATGTTCCAGTCTTTTTGGCTCTATTTGTTAATGACTAATCGTAATTATATATTAAAACATTTTTACCCTTTTTCTTATTTTTCTTTTTTACTTTTATATTAATCTTTGTCTTTATCCTCTCCCACCACACACCATCCACCACCACTACACCAGATAAATTAACCACCTCTTACCGTCACTCACACCACCTCTCGCAGTCATTGTTATAAAGTAAACGAGAACAGATGCGTCTGTTCAATCGAGCAACAGGTATATCTTGATCCTTAGCCTTGTTGTGATACCAGTTGTAAAAGTAAGAACGTAAACAAGAAACCAAAATAACACTAGAATTATAGTGCAAAAACCGAAAATCGAAAAAAAAACACTTTGAATGAAAACTATATTAATCTCAATGTTGAACAAGGTAACAAAAGTGTAGAACGGGAATGAAAAATGATGATGTAGAAAGATGATCTGATATCCTACATACAAGACTAACTAAACGAGTCCTAATCTAACTCTTTTACTTGATGTGCAATCAAAACAAAAACAAATCAACTAATATAGCTGTCAATTTCTTGGGCACCAAGTTGAAAACTATTCGGAGCATATCCAACAAACTCCACCTTGTAACGAAACCAATCTTCAACAACGTAACTTTCAACCATCGAGAGAAATGAAAAACATATAGTGTTCAAAAGCCCCTAAGGACTCAATTTGAAATACCAACCAAATCTGATTAATGTTCAAATTTTGCGGTCGGAACCGACTTCGTCATCATGTCGGCCGAGGTATGCTTGGTGTTAATCTTTATCAACTTCATATTGTCTTGGGCTATGACATCTATGATATAATGGTGTCGTATGTCAATGTGCTTCGCTCGCTCATGGAACATCGAATCCTTCGTGAGGCATATCGCACTTTGACTCTCGCTATAAATTGTAGTGAATGAGTAATCACCACATAGCTCACCGTAAAACCCTCTAAGCTAAGTAGCCTCTTTACATGCTTCTGAAATAGCCATGTACTCAACTTCCGTAGTAGACAAAGCAATGGTAGATTGAAGTGTAGCTTTCGATCTCACAACACTATCACCGATAGTAAAGACATAACCCGTGAGGGATCTTCTTTTGTCAAGATCGCCTGCATAATCAGAATCAACGTATCTATATAGCCCGGTTGTTGATTTCCCAAACTCCAAACACGCATTAGAAGTACCTTTAAGGTATCGGAAGATCCATTAAACGACTTTCCAGTGTTGTTTTCCCGGATTAGCCACAAAACGACTTACAACACTCAAAGCATGTGATAAGTCGGGTCGGGAACAAACGATAACATACATTAACAATCCAACTGCACTTGAATAAGGAACATTTGACATTTGATCAATTTCATCATTTGTTTGTGGATAATTTCTAGAAGAAAACCTAAAATGGCCGGCAAGCAATGTGCTTACGGGTTTGGCATTTTGCATGTTGAATCACTATAGAACTTTGTTGATGTAGCTGCTTTGGCTTAAGTATAACTTACATATGGATGGATCCCTTGATATTTCCATGCCAAGTATTTTCTTTCCATCACCCAAATCTTTTATCTCGAACACCCGACTAAGTTGGTTTTTCAGTTTGGTGATGGTAAACTTCTCTTTTGCAGCTATAAGCATATCATCAACATAGAGTAATAAGTAGATAAGATGCCCTTTTTCAAATTTTAGGTAAACATTTGACAACGATCAAAATTTGAGTCGGTTCTAGATTTGACTAAACTTAGTTGCACATATAGGCATGAAACATACTAGACTTAGTAACTAGAAGCTAAGTTATAATCTACTAGAAACTTGGAAACAATTAGAAGCGATGGACAGTGTACTTAGATTTCACATTGTTATGTGAATTCTACAACTACTTAATTGTAGAGACTATCCATATTCGGGCCACTCTTTTCTCGAACACCTTTTCATGAATCATACACACACATTATGCACTTGACCTAGTAGTAGAAATTGAGTCGGAGTCTCGTGGAACTTAAGTCAAAGTTGAAACTATGACTAGATACTTTGTCCTCAGTTCACTTGAATCTCGAACCACTACATAAAATGTCATACACGACAAAAAGAATTACAAACATTATTTATGAGCTAAAAGGTTATAATACCAAGAAGATAATTTGAAAGTCTCCAAGATTCAAATTTATACAGATATGCCCAAAGATTTACAAACTCTCAAAAAAACCGAAAGGCCCTAAAAACCTAAATGTATGCAATTTAACCTTAAAATTATAAAAATAGTTAGGAACCTTATAATATGATCTTATAATAATGAAAATTATGAAAAGCATTCAAGGAAAATAAAAATTTTATAACATAAACATTTATCCCTAATTTATAAGGTAAAAGAAAATCAAGGTTGTTATAAACAAAAACTAGACAAATGCAACTTTTATAAAAATATTGAAAATTTTATAAATTGAGGGAAATATATAAAAAATAAATGACGAGATGGGGGAGTCTCTCTCCTCATTGAAAAATTCAGATCTATCTCCCCATATCTCTCCTCCTCCCAACACACATAATCAATATTCCAACCTACACACTCCATCTTCTTCACTTCTCTCTCTTACTCTTCAATTCCCCCAACACCATTTTCTCTCTTCCTCTCTCTATAACCACAAATTTTTTCCAGAAAATGAAGCCAAAAACACTCTTTAAACTCTAAATCTTCATCATTTGAAGTAATCTTGAAGGTAATCACGAATTTTCTTTCATTTTACTTCACCTTTCCTTCAAGTTTTGTTATTTTTCTTGCACTTTTTCCTTCTTCTACACCATTCTATTGTAAAATCATGAACACTTGCTCACACTCACGGTTTTGATGATGATGGTGATAAGATTTCACCCAAAAACAACATGCATGTTGTAAATGGTGAAATCCAAGGACCAAAACCTAAGTCAAAATCAACATAATGCACTTTTCTACAAGTTTTGGGGGGGAAAACACCACATGCACCCTAAGTTTTCTTTCAAAAACGATTTTTGACCATTTCAAACTCATGAATGGTCTTCAAACCAACATGCATGTGAAGATTTTCAAGCTTAGATGCTAGATGATCAAAGTTTGTTGTTAAAAGCTTCAAATATGTTCAAAAAGGATTTATTCTCAAATAAATACCTAAAACTCTTTTTCTGATCAATTCCGATTTTTTCCAGAATCCCACCAATAAAATAAGATGATCTGTAAATTTTCAAAAATTAATTCGTTTTTCTCGAATTATTATAACTATTGCAAGGAAATAGGGCAATAATTCATATAAAATACTTTCTGAGGTCTATAAATCATAGGTAAATTCGTGTATGACCCCTAAAGTAAATGATGACATCTCAGTGAGTTCCAACCATTTTTGTTACTGTTTGGTATGGTTTTGAATTTTCTTTTTGTTTAATTCAAATAAATCATAAAACCACTTTAAGGAATGTGAAAAGGCTATCTAAGATTTTTCGCAGATCCTACCTCCTGCGGAACACTCATAAAAATAGTTTCAGAATTTTTCATAATGCATACCTATTTTCCCCGATTTTTTTATTTATAATGGACTACTAATGGGAAAAATAGTTGTACTCATCCAAAATTCATGAAAATTTACCAGAAGACCTTATAATATATTAGAACTCCAAATAAAAGTTTGGATGATTTTTCTATTCAGTATGCTATTTTTCTTCTATTTTCTAAGATTAAATACACTTAAATCCACAAGATCGGATTACATTATATAAAAATCACCATTGGTATTTTTTCCGGATTATGTACATTGTAAATGAAGTTTACAAAAAATTTGGTATTTTTTCTGGATTATGTACTAGCGTCTCCGGCGACTTCGGACGCCTCCTTGCGTCTTCGTCATCGGCTCCGGCGGGATCAAACGCCACCGATTCTTCCTCCGCGCCTAGTCTTCTTCTGTCTTTCTTGCTGACTCTCGATGGTTGGTAATGAACGGGGGCACCAATCGCATACAGCCTCAATGAATCACAGAAGGCTCGAGAATGTTTCCAAGCCTTTCTTTGTGACTAATTTCCCTCCTGATGCAGACGTTAAGTCCTTATGGGAGGAGTGTGATAAGGTTGGGAATGTGGTCGATATCTACATTGCTAGGAAACTATCAAAAATTGGTAAGCGATTCGCATTCGTTCGATTTATCAAAGTTAAGGATGATTTATTGTTAGAACAAAAACTAAGAGACATTTGGATGGGATCATACCACTTATTTGCTTATGTGGCTCGGTTTAGTCGAGATGTTAGTAACACGGGAGGATTGAATAAAAAGGAGAAGGCTGTCTCACATAACTCTGTTGAGTATAATGTTGTTAAGCAGGTGAAGAAGCTGAATGTGCATGCTGTTGCAAACTATAGTTCGTATGCCAATGTCTTAAAGGGTCAGGGGGTTGAGAAAACTAATAATGGCCCAGTTCCTGAATGTATTTTATAGGGACATGAGATTGATAATCCACTGTCATTGAAAGTATCAGTTTTTGGCAAGCTACGGGATATTCGATTGATTCCGAAGTTGGGTATTCTTTTGAAAGAAGAAGGTTTTCCGGAAATTGCTATTAAGTATGTTGCTAGCGATTGGGTTTATATTTCTTTTGTATCGGAAGCTGCTTGTACACGATTTATGAAATCCAAGGCGGTTAAGGCTTATTTATCAGTCTTTAGACCAGTTGTTAATGGTTTTTTTTGTTAAAGAACGTGCTATTTGGTTGGAGATGGTGGGTTTACCATGTTGCGCTTGGAATGATGTTGCGGTTAAAAAGGTGGCTTCTATGTGGGATGAGGTTTGTTTTATTGAAGAGGATGGGGACGCTCCTTTAGCGGTCAAACGTGTGTGTATTAAGACTGCGAAACCTTTTTTGATTCAAGATATGGTTAAGGTGGTTGCTCAAGGTGTTGAATATGGGGTGGGGGTGCATAAAATTTCAAATTGGGAACCGAATATTATGGAGGAGGGAGAAATAGAGTCGGACATTCCGGACCTGTCAGGGGGAGAGGAAGAAGATGCTTGTTTCGAGGACGATGCGAATGATTTTATTGATGTAGAGAATGACGATAAGGTTGATGAGAGGCAAGAGAACTCTTTTGGCATGTAAAATACACCTACTACTGGTGCCAGAGGAGCTGGATTTGTTGATAGAAAAGGAAGATTTTTCCAAACAAATGAAAAAGCAAATGGTAATGGTAATGGAACTGTGGACGGGGGGCCTTTTATGCCTAATGTTGCTGTCACAAGAGGCGTTGTTAGAAAAAAAAATGTAATCCGGTGGGGTCTTTTCCAGTTATGGAGGATGCTTGTGACATGAAGGGTGATTCAGCCCATTTGGTAACTAATGTGGAGGGGGAGGGGGCTGCCGAATCACCATCACAACTACCCGGTTATAGACGAGATCAATCCTCTATGTCTCATGGGTCTTCTAAAATTCTTAAAATGAAAGTCCCGGTAGTTGTTGATGACATAGAAGATGTGTTGAAGCGGTATTTTGAAATGGGTGGCCTTCTCGGGTATGATATGGAGACTAATAAGGAAAGGGTTAAAAAGATTTTATCTAGTATTGGTGTGGTACAGGTGGACCAATGAAGTGCCTTTCTTTAAATATATGTGGTACCCGTTCTTTTTAAAAAAGAAATTGGCTTAAGGCGCTTTGTTTGCAGTTTGAAGTTTCTTTTTTGGGTTTGCAAGAAACGAGAATGACGCAAATTGATCTTTTCAAGATCCGAAGTATGTGGGGTAATTATAGATTTAATTTTTCTAGTAGTAGTGCTCGGGGTAGATCGCGTGGTATACTTTCTGTGTGGGACCCGAATGTGTTTACTAAAAGCAGTGTCACTTGTACTAGTAACGTGGTTATTGTGGGAGGCTTGTGGGTTCCGTTTAATATTAACTGCTTTATGGTTAATATTTATGCTCCTCAAGATTTTGTGGGAAAGCAACATCTTTGGGGGTATCTTTCGGCGTTCATGAGAAGGAATGGAGGAAATTACGTCTTTTTTGGAGACTTCAATGTTGTTAGGGAGGCAGGTGAAAGGTTCGGTTCTGTTTTTTGTGATACTTCTGCTCAGCTCTTTAACGAGTTCATTGATGATGCTGGTCTAATTGATATGCATATGGTTGGAAAGCGGTTTACTAGAGGTGATACCATAAGTGCTAAACTCAGCAAGCTTGATCGGTTCTTAGTCTCGGATGCGGTTTATGATTGTTTTGATCATCTTCAGGTCTCGGTGTTGGATAGGAAATGGTCAGATCACTGCCCTATTCTGCTTCATTCTAATACGATGGATTTTGGGCCTTCTCCTTTTAAATTATTCAATTCTTGGCTTTCTCTGGAGGGTTTCGATGATGTGGTTAAAGGAGCTGTGGATGATTTTGTTAGTGACCCGTCTTGGAGTAAGTTTGTTGTTTTCAAAAACAAACTTAAATTTATTAAAGCAAGGATTCGATCTTGGAATGTGGAGACTAGATCGGCTGCGCATCTTTCTTCGTCGCATATGTTGGGGCGATTAGTAGAGATTGATAACTTTATTGATGATGGTCAATCTAGTGATGACCTTATTGTTTAGTGCTCGTTTTTCGATCACTAAATGAACTAAAAAGCTTATTTTTGTCCCTGGATTTTACAATTTACATCATTTTTTGAGCTTAAAAAGATAAATTTATGTTAATGAATATAATAGACCTAATATTTCCCTGTTGTTATTTTTGTGCCCATTCAGTTGGGTTTTCGACCTGTCTTGCATGGGTTCCTCATCTCTTATTCTATAGGACGATGGGAGTTGGGCTTCTTCTTATGAAGTCCAAAGTTCTTAAAGGAATTGACGGCTCATTAACTTGTTTTTACAAGTTCACCTAAGCTTCTTAGGTCCCCTCCTCCTATTCTACAGGTTGGTGGGAGATGGTTTTATTGCACGAAATCCATAATATAGTACCACGTGCTTCTCATTTGAATTGACGGCTTTCATCACCACTTGTCATCACAAGTGCAACTCGAGTTTCTTGAGTTCCCCTCCTCCTATTCTACAGGATGGTGGGAGATGGTTTTCTTGCACGGAATCCATAATATAGCATATTGTGCTTTGCATCGAAATTGACGGTATTCATTTTACTTGTTATTGAAAGTGTAACCTATGTCTCATGGGTTCCCCACCGCCTAGTCTATGGGTTTTGGTGGGAGTTGGACTTCCTCTTATGAAGTTCAAAAATCTATAAGGAATTAACGGATTTTATCTTGTGAATACAAGATTGCCTAAGCTTCTTAGGCCCCCACCATTTATTCAACGAGTCTTGGTGGGAGTTGGACTCATATTATAATGTCCAAATGGTTTCGGCAAGGAATTGACGGATTCAAAAGAAGATAAATTCATCACGAGCAAATTAAGGCGAATAAAAGATGTTTGGCAGATTGACCACGTCTCAGTGTTTTCATCATATCTAGCTCCTCGGGACTCCAATTTAGGCGATTCAAGATGTTCCGGAAACTAGACACAATTATCTACAAGTTTTGTGTTTTGAGTTTTCTCAAAATCGGTCGTTTTCCAGTTCATAATCGACGTGGAAGTTGGGGTTAGTTTGCTTAAAGAATTCTAATCCGAAAATAAGGTGCAATGTTGAGGACTAAAGCTGTACAATGATTAAAGTTGAGAGATCAAGGGCTAAAGTTGTAACAAGTTGAAAAGTTGAAAGCTAGGGGCTAAGGCTGCACCATTCTTGAAAGTTGGAGGCTAAGTTGTGCAATTATGTTTTATATTTATGGTTTACGTGATCTTTAGAGACGGGGGAAGAACCTCCGAAGAAAAAAAAAAGATCGGCAGCCTAACCCTCAAAAACCCTACGACTGGAACAAAAGAATAAAAAACACCATGTGTTCATAATCGTAACAGAGATTTGAAGGGGAGGTATGCAGATTCATTAGAAGGGAAAGAGAAGGACTCAAGGACATCAGCAGCAATTATGGTTATTCTTTTCCTTGTGTTTAAATTTTATTGCTTTAGTATTTTCTTTTGCTACGTTTAGTTGATTTTTGTTTCTGCTTTCAAAAGTAATTGCTTTCGGTTAGACGTTGAATTAAAATATGATGCTTAATTTTTATTTGTTTGCTGTTATCAATTTTAATTTTATGGAGTAGTAATGTGGTGGGTTTGGTTGACTAGGGTAAGACGGTAATTTTAATGTAGTTGATTTTTTTGAACCAATTTTGTTGAAATCGAATAGAATATTCAAATGTGTGCTTATTTTAAAAATATAAATTTTGACGGGTAACTTTGATTTTGGCTAGCACTTGATCAACGTTAGTTAGGGTTAATTTGCTTGGTTTAAATTTAATATTTACAGGCTTATATTGACTTCGAGAGAAGCTTTATTTGTGACATCGTTTGAATATAAATATGCGGTTTCGTTATTTCGCTTAAACTTAACATAGACGTGTGTTAGGGCATTTTTAACAAAACCATTGGACTTAATGTTTTTTAAAATCATGAAGTACATAGAGATATGAGTGAATGTTTTTAAATCGAATCATGAGACCGAGAGGTAATTGATAACTTTTATTGGTGTTAAGTTATTCGTTTCTACATAATTGGTTTGACAAATTAGTTGCATTAGGAGAACCATTGAACCCGTATAAGTCAACTAAATCCCAGATTCCTCATAATTGTTAAATCGTTTAATTGTTTTCCTTGTTTGTTCGATTATTTTAGTTTTCATTTTTACCTTGGTGAATTTAGTTTAATTTTATTTTAGTAGTTTCTTTAGTTTAATAAAATCAATCACTTTTGCAATCAATTGCCTAGTTCAATCTTCCTTAGAATAGGATAGTCCCTGTGGGTTCGATATCTGGTCTTACGACTATATTACTTGCACGACCTCGTATACTTGCGAGTACGCGTTTTCGTCAACAAGTTTTTGGCGCCGTTGCCAGGGACTATTTTTATTTTTAAGTTAGAACATTAGGTAGTTGTTAGACTCTTAAACATCTTGAGGATATTTTACTCTGGCCGATCGAAGATTCAGACCACCTGAATTTGCGCTTGATTGGGAGATTGAAAGAACTTTGAGAGGGTTGAGGAGACTTCGGATTCAAGAAGATATGGGAGATAACGGAAACAAAAACAATAATGGAAACAGAGGTTTCGAAGGAACAAACCCGCCGATTGTCAGCGCAACAGTTAATGCTGACAATTTTGAGTTCAAACCCGTGATGTTTTAGATGATCAACAACAATGGTCTCTTTGGAGGCATGCCTAGTGATGAGCCTTTGTCCCATCTGCGTTCCTTTAACCAGATGTGCGATAATTTCAAACAAAGAGGCATGACGGCTGATGCATTTAGGATGAGATTATTTCCCTACACACTACAAGGGAAAGCCCGAGACTGGTTCGAATCTTTGCCTTCTGATTCCATAACCACTTGGGAGGAATTAAGAGAAAATTTCCTAAAAAGAT